AGGCGTGAGCCACCATGTCCAGCCTTTCCATCATTTTTATTTACCATAATTTACTAAGCCTTTTTCTATTACTATACATTTAATCATATTTTTAGTTTTTGCTATTATAGATTCCAAAAAGTTTTCTTCAGTATTGGGTTTTTGATCCTATTAAATAATTTCCTTAAGATAAATCCTTGTAAGTGTGATTTCTGGTTCAAAGGATACTGTTATAGAATTAGTTTACTACTCAGTTGGTATGCAAATAGATGATTTCATGAAATCTATAATATTATTGAAAAACAGCTGTCCTAATAATACCATGTTTTTGTTGTTGTTGCTGCTGCTGTTGTGTTTTGCAAAGCCTCACTTTCTCCTGGAAAGCAACACAACAAAATTGACAATAAACCATACATACTTAAAGTATGCTATTTCATCAATTTTGGCATATGTATATACCTACAAAGTTTCTAAGATCCAATGGTAGTGAAGTGGAAAATTGGAAAATTCCACTAAAGTAAAAAATTCCACTACCGGGTTTCCACCCTTAACAACCTTTCCCTGGGCCTCCTCCCCTGCAACTTTTCCCTGACAGCTGCTGCCCTCCTAAATCACCTATAGCAATTAGAGTACTAGGCCGTGAAGTAGCTTAGGACTCTGCCTCACTAAAGTTAACCCTGTTGTAACGGTGCCCCTCCTCCTTAAGCAGAGTGTATAAAAGACTGCTATGCTCTTGGTCTGGTGCTCAGAATTTAGGGATAATACCCCCTCTGGGCCTGCCAGCATATATAAACCTGTTTTGCCAATACTTCTGTGTGTGTCTCGGTCTGTTCTAGGTCAGCCCTGCTGTAACAGTAGAATAACAGGAAGCTGTACATTTAATATCACAGTATACCAACTGGTTCTAAATATCAACTGCAAAGATGTGTGTGCTAAACACATAAGTATACACATATATAAAGGATAAATTACGATGATAAGTTTTATGCAAATTTTTCTTACCTTTTCATGGACTGTACTGTCTAGGTAAGGGTAAACATGAAAAGCTCCCCGAATTCTTTTCACACCTGGATATAGCAATGGGACCATATTAACATAAGCTACTCCATGAAATGAAAGCTGACCTTCATCCTCAGTCTAAAGGAATAAAATCAGAGAATAGTTAGTGCTAAAAAGTACTGTACCATAAGGTATAGAGCTCTGACTCAGCAATTCAAAGACCAGTATTAGAAACTAACTCTGCTACTTAACTAGTTACATGACTTTGGGCCAGTTACATAGACATTTTGGGCCTCAGTTTCTTTATCTTCAAAATGGATTTAATAATACCATGATCACTGAGATAATGCACATAAATGGTGTTAATGAATAGTAATGGTAAACATCTGTACCCCCATAATATGCTGAAATAAAAAAAGTAAAAAAAAAATAGTAACGGCAGTAGTTGGGTATCAATATATATTCAAATTAATTTATAATACATATATTCAGCGAAAAGTCTATTTCACCATGTTGTTTCTTAGGAGAAATGAAGCTTTATAAAAAACAATAACAACAACAAAAACTTCAAAGAAATCAGAAGTTGTGGCTTTTAGCTTTAGTTCACAAACTCATAAGAATGAAAGGGGCCTTACAAATTATCTGGACCAATGATGAAAAATACGCTTTAACTTATGCCTAAATTCTCATCAATTGGTGGAGGTGTTTCAGCATGCTTTGCTGAGAAAGATTCTGTGTATTTATCTGGGCTCAGAAGGAAAGAGTGCGTTGGCTGACTGGCAATATCTGCCACGGATGAAGGAGGACAAATGACTGTCTGCAATCACGTTTTGTCATGCTGGATCTCACCTAAATTCTCATTGCAAAGATGAAGAACATGGTAATAAATGTATCTTAACATCATTTTAATGGTTATATGGTTTGCCACAGAAAATTTTTACAGGGAAAAAATCAATTTGGTGAATGAAAACACATTTAATTCCAAGCTTAAAAGTAATTTCTTTGATTTCGCCTACAATGACAATAATTAGAAACTAGATTAAAAAGTCCTATGTTCATGTGATAACATTACATGGTCCAGAAATCTAAAGAAAGTTAGCCAATACATATAATACACCACAAAGGGAGAAATTGTTATATGGGGATAGTAATTTTACTAGGCAAAAATATCTATTTTAAAAATCAATCAAATAGGAGGGCCTCTCTAGAGGAATAAGAGCTAGCTACAGGACCCAAAAACAGCACCTCAGCTCGCTCCTCC